TCCTGGTCAGGACCCACAGCCAGCGGACTGGAGCTAATAAACGACGCTGCCAGGGAGAAATCTCTCAGCTCATAGCAGGGCCTTAAAAATGTTCAAACCCTTTCAGATACATGCCAGGAAAACATTTTATGAGGTGAAAGTCTGTAAAACTATCATCTACATTCACATAATTTATTGGTGAGAAAGCCTTTACTTCAGAAAAGTTGTGCTTTTTATTTTCTGTACATGGGATTAGAAACTTTAAAACCATGTGCGGCCTTCCAAGCTGTAGGTGCCTTGATGATACATTTCTCTTGCAAGTCTTGTCAATCCATGTGAGCTGTATGTGAAGGTCACAGTTATACGAGTCCCTGCTGCCAGTGTGACGATGTGTGTGGCACAGCCGCGCTGTAAGAGATGTCAGTGTTGGGACACGATTGACTACTCAAGCCCTCTAGGCCTCAGGCTCTAATTGTGCCTTTCTCCTGCCCCTTGCTGTGCAGGTACAAGACATCCGCCCAGGCCCTGAGCCGAATCCACCGCTCCCACCCCCTGGCGCCGGGCCAGCGCCTGGTCCACTGGGTGGAGCACATCCTGCAGTCCGGGGGAGGGGCTCACCTGCGTGCCCGCTCCCTGCTGCAGCCCTGGTACGAGCGCTGGCTGCTGGACGTCGCGCTGTTCCTGCTGGGCTCCGTGCTGCTGCTGCTGGGCCTGGGAGCCCGAGCCGTGCGCGCCGCGGCCAGGACACTGCAGCAGAGGGGCAAAGTCAAGCGCCACTGAGCACGCCCTCCTTGGACCCCTAAAAACACCAACACCAGACAAAGGAACAGACAGGACAGGTGTCTTCACAGGAGCAGCGCAGCTCCAAAACAGAAGATCAAAGGGCAGCGGAGAGCTTCTGCAAATGATAGGTTCATTCCACATCTCTTCACAAAGCTGGAGACTGACACAGCCGTGCTTTTGACTTTGACCTTCCAATCCAAATGTGTTTTGGGGCATTACCTAGTTGTCAGAGCAAACGTTGATGCTGTGAAAAGTCTTAGCTGCTGGGTTCACTTCTTGTATGCAAAGTTCTCCATCAGTGACTGTTCCTTCCAACCATCAACAAGCAGCACATCTCACTTCAGGTAACTTGAGCTTTACTCCTGGGTACTCTCACATGCAAACCAATTTAATCCGAATCTGATTTTACACTGCTCCTCTATACTTTATCTCTCAGCAGTGATCGATTTCTTCTTGATTCACAGGCAATTAAAGAACTTTAATTATTTAACCAAATAATTGGTGCTCATCAAGCAGTTACTGGAAGAAAGACTTTATAAAGGGCTCTCACTTTACTAGGCCTTTTCAAAAATATTTAACGTTTTGGGTTAAAGAAAAAAGTTAATACAAGAAAGAACATTAAAACGACAAAGACATAAACAAGTTTAAAGGTTGTGGGTGTGTGTGTTTTTGGTCTCCAGACTTTTAAATCTTCCCACAAATAAAAAGGTTCTAATTTTAATTTCTATAAAACTAATTCATTCTGAAATAATTCTGAATAAAAGCTGAATCCAATTCAGCATCACTGGCTCTTTCTAAGGAGCAACCCAGGAATCTTGTTTTCCAGCTGCTCTCAGAACATGTCCTGTCTCTTTACGCTGTGGGAGTTTGATGTGAATGTGGTCCTTAAACCTTGGAGATTGTAATACAGTCTAGCTTCATGAACCAGATCCTTCTTCCCCTAGGGAAACAGTGTCGAGATTGAGAACAGCTTTGTGGTTTGAGCTTCCTTCAGCCCACTTAATTTTATCTTTAAAAATACGAACTTGAATTGGGCCTGTTCCAAAACCACAACTCTGTGCCGCTTGCTTCTGCTCTGAGCAAAAACAAGCTTGAGTACATTGAATTTCATTATTTTGATTGCAATATGGTTTACTTTAGAAATCCAAAACTAAGAAAACTCTAAATCCTGGAAGGAAGACTGGCCTCTTTTTGCATAGTAAGAACTATTTTATAGCAGGCAGCTGTATTTATAGCGTGCCTGCTGTAATTCTGAATTCTTTTAACAATGGAGAAACTGAAAAAAAACAGTTACACATTTCAAAAGCAAAACCTTTGACAATCTCCAACAAGAAAACATCAAGTTAGTCTGCTGTAGGTCTTAGTATAATCAACCAAGAAAATTTGTTTTGACCTTTTTTTATTTTTCCCAGCTCAAACTTCGTATCCTCAGCACACACACTTTTCTATTAGGGCTTCTCCTCTAGAGTTCATTTAATTGCTTTTGTAGTAAGAAAAGGTCTTATTTGGGTACAGTAACAAAGGTCCGAAGACACTATTCCCTTCACATAGCATTCGGGAGTCTTGTCAGGTCTATACCTACAACACGCTTGTGTATAACTGCCAACTCCAAACGTTATGTCATGGCAGTCCCACATTTGTTGCTTTTGGGTAAAACAGAAGGCAGCCTTGCCCTAAGCCCTTGACATCTCCTCTCCGAGTGGACACCCTGATTGGTTCTGGCACTTCAATCTCTGCACCGAGAGCTGGTCGCAGAGCTTCTCACAGCTCTGCATTGTGAAGGGGAACGCAAGCAGGAGGGGAAGGCCACGCAGCCGATGTGTGAGGCCCCCGTCATGCCTCAGTAACGCCATCTTTCACATGGGCCAAGCTGATTGCAGATCGCCCCTCACCGCCCATGTGTATTATTATTATTAATGAGCCAGCCGGACACGGGAGCAATAGAGGGGGGTTTTATTGGGGACCCAGGTGGCTGGCGCCTACGTCTCCTTTCATGCCCAGTGTTCTTGTGCAGCCACCAGCACACACGCACACAAAGGTCAGGCGTCCCCGTCACGCAACGCTGGAGCCAATTAGGCGGGCTGGGTCAGACACAGGAGTAGCGGCACGCCTGTGGTATTTCTCCATGTCTTAGTTGGTTTTTTTACAAACTTTTAAAGGCGTAATGCATTTCAGTCCGCTGTATGGAGCAGAACAGCCCTAAAATCTGCCCGCAGGAGCGCTGGATTGGATTCTGGATGTGTAGGTTGGGTTGGGTTCAAATCCCAGGTGGCACAGCACTCTTGTACCCTTGAGCAAGGTACTTCACTCACATTGGTCCAGTGAGATACCCAGCTGTGGAAATAGGTACAAAGGGAAAAGTTGCTTTACTACACTTATGACCACATGGGCTAGATGGTGTGGTCTCATGAGTGTAACCACTCTTATGAATAAGTGGGCTGTGTTCACATACAAGTGGAGGACGGGGCATCTTGGTCATGCACAAGCTCCCCACGAGGAGGTGGCGTGCACATGGGAAGAGCTGGAGGCCGGCCGGCACATTCCTTTCCCCCAGCTTCCAAGGGTATGATTTTTTTTTAAAGCGCATTACCAAGGCCGAGCACGTCTGGCTGCCCTCAAACGTACGAGAGCGACTCTATGGAGAGACGAAGTCAGAAAGAAGGCGCAAGCCTTGTGCGTCCCACAGAAGCACACTTTTTCCTCCTCCTTCGAAACCCTGAGTTCGTCACCTGTAAACCCTGAACGAGAATAAGCGCAGAACACGGATGCACGGATTGCTTCTCTTGAAAGGGAGCCAGATGCAGCTGGTCTACTCAGGAATAAATGTGCAAATGTGACCATAAAAGACAAGGACAGGTCTTTCAAATAGATGCCAATTTAATTTGTGCACGTCACTACAGTTCGTCATAGTTTAGATATACAGAGAATCAAAACAAGATGGTAATAATAAATTATGGATTCCATGAACAGAACACATGGTTATTAGAAAAATGTACATTCGTGCACTACGAAAAAAAAACTGCTTTATATATTTCTGTTCTAAATTCATCCTTCATACAATTTACAGAAATATATGGTTCAGAGACACTTCAGCGTATTTTAAGTGCAAGGAAAGTATTTCTGCGGCATGAGAATGTTTAAAGAAATCCCCGGGAAAATAAATAAGTGCATTTTACACCAAGAACAAGAACCTATTATTTACCTGTCAGTATCATCATTACATATTGACAGTTTACACTGAGCTGCTGGAAACATTTTTGCTTCCAAACAATTTAAAGTTTATCACTGGTCCACACTCCTGTTTTTGGGGAGACAGAGCTCTACACGTTTGCTGGGGAACACAAACTCCTTAATGATGAAAGACATACTGTAAGTAAAACCAGTGAAATTAACAAGTGATCCAGTTAAGCTATTAAGAGCTCAGGTAGAATGAAAAACAAAACACCTTTTGCTCGACAGAACCAAGAGTGAGGATCACTGGGATTTGGATCTCTAGCCAAAAGAAAATCATGTTCCTTTTCACAGGCCTCTTTAGAGAACCATTTTAGTTCACTCTTTAGAAGATATCAGCGGAATTCTCATGCAAAGGGTTCCAAAAACCCTTATGCTTTGTTCCCCTTACCAGTCCAAGATTGCAATCTGACCAGCACTTGACCTTTCACCTGGGTTACACAATGCTGCAAAGAGCCTACAGCACACATGTGTGCAAGGCAAAGCAAACTACATGAGGATATTATCATATTTTACACGAAGGGAATTTCAGCTAGTTTTAAAATACAGGACCAGAGGCTAAATAGAAAATGACTGGTTTGATTTTATGTTATTTGATTTTTTAAGCCTTTAAAGGAGCATCGCTTTTCTAGAACCCTGAATGTGGAAATGATCAAAGCAGAAGCTAACCGAGGGAAGAAATACAGCACAGGAGAAATAAAATAGCCAAACTCTACGACATCAGAGCACCTACACTGCACTGTATACTCAATACAAGACAGGGGGATTAGTACGTGTGCCAGTCATACTATTACCAAATGAGCCAGTCAGGCCTCCTCTCGTTTGGAACCTTCTTTCTCCAAAAGCAGATCTTCACTCTTTAGAGTCAGAATCAGACAGAAATTACAAACACTTTTGAAGAGCTTATTTTATGTACACCTGGGGTCGTTAACATATTTGCAATTAACACACAACACAATTAATCCTAAAAAGTTAGATCCTATTAAGTTAAGATTAAATTAAGTTAGACCCTTAATCCTAAATCTGATCTACTTTTACGTTTAAGGAAGAACTTGCATTAAAGGGTGGTTTTATTGGGTAGTGGGCTTCTTGTAAAAAGCTAAAACTACAGTAAAATCATATACACCATCACAAACATTGCACTTCACCTGAAGAAATTGTTCCCCAATGTGAAAGTTTTCTTTTTTCAGTATGTCCACATTATTGATTCACTACAGAATCCAGTTTCTTTTTTACCTTTTATAAACTAATGAATGACGTTTTTAGAGAAGAGCTTGGCTTTTATGCATATCCAGTATGTATTTAAGTATCAACTGGTCCATAACCAAAGCACATTTTGGCTACATTTACAGGAGAGAAAGACATGTCAATACTTTTGCACAATCACATTGTCTACTACAAATTCATTTAGAACCGATTACTTTTATCTTTTCAGTTTAATGATGGTGGGAACCCAGACAGTAAAATGAATTAAAACAAAGCTGTCTGAACTGCAGTGTACAGAGACTACTTATTTTTAAAATAATTATAAAATACATACATCAGTCATGATCATATCATACTGATTTGTAAAGATGTAAAATCTTGATGGATATTATAACCTTATTGCTCAATGGCAGGATGGCGCTCATGTCTAAAAAGGTCACTTCTTCAGCTACCCTAAGAATAAAACATAAACGAAAACTTTGGCACTCTGCAGGTTAATGTTATACTGGACAGAACTGAGAATTTAAATAGAGGACAGTGAACAAGAATCAGTGTAACATAACACTGTTGAAAAGAATGAGTTATCACAACTTAAGATTAAGACACTGCACATGAGAGAGAAAGTATTGCTAATTTAGACAAAGACTGTTTTTTAAGTCTCATTTCTTATGCAGAAGCGGGGGGATATTCGAGAGCTAGTTCACATCTCAGGAACAACACTTTACAGATAACTGGATGACTGGCTTGAACTTAAAAGCACAACCTGGGCAAAATAATGTGAAAAAGTAAAAATAATTAGGCAGCAAGGGAATGAAGAGACAGTATTCACACAACTGAAACCCCTCAAAAACGTTAAATATCAGTCTACAGCAGTAGCTAAGAAACTGCAGTTAACACTCACTGACTTCTTCAAAACAGAGACAGAAAAAACTCTTCACCAGGACGAAGTCATTAACAGAGTAATAAAAGTTATTCCTATGTATCTTTCAGTACCTGTGAGGAGCAGTGTTGAGTGAAAATTGGTGACTTGTACCCTGAGGAATTCCGTCCTCAGTGAGCACAGCCCATCTAGAGTGTGGTTGGGTATGACCATCTCTGAGCATCTCTCATCACTGTTAGGAAACGCCACACAGTTAGGATCAGGCACAGTCATGTCATAATTTATGCCAGACAACGAACAGAGGCAAAAAGCAGTAAAGCAGTTTTTTCGTGACAAACGATATCATTACTTATGATCCTGAGAAAGGTAGCCCCAGCACCAAAATTTCAGGACAACAAAAACACACGTTTTTCACTTCCAAACAATGTAGCCTGATGCAAATCTGGGAACACTACGTCCTTTGTAATATGGATCTGATCACACTGACTGCGGTGCCCAAAGCCATATACCCCTTTAAAGCAGAAAAAGAACTTTTCACATGAGTGCGGTACTTCAGCTTGTAGTGATTTCCATAAATTAAGAGAAACCTTTCTTGAAATAAAAACATTTCAAGGCCATAAACAAACACCTTTAAATACACCAAATGTGGCAATAATGCGATTTTACACGTACACAAAAAAATCCTCTATGTACAATTCAGTGTACTTTTTACTTACAGTGATTATGCAATAACCTGTTAACACTTCAGACACAGCTACAAGGTTTTGTATGTACAGTTCAGAAATAAACACAAGAAAGGTTTTCTTGCTTTGTTTGTAATGGTAAAAAGAGCTTTGTTACAGAGGTGCCGTGTTTTAGTGTGTGATCAGTTGTAAGGTAATGAAGGTCAGTAAACAAGCCATTTTCTCAAAGTGCCACCAGCCCTTAGCCCCTCACACTGTTCCTGCAGCAGACTGAAGGACTGGAGGAGCGCCAACAGCATGTGCAGGCAAGCCAGCATGTATTTCTATTCTGGACACATGTAACATAGTATGTCGGAGGCAAGTACACAATACTAATTAAAACTGTGTACACAAGGGTTTTCTGACATAAAACTTGATTACTTAAAAGTTAAGCACAGTACAGTATGTCTTCCTTTCACCAAATCCAAAAAAGGTAGAGACACATCGGATCACATGATGTCATCAGTCGATCAGTAATGCAGGAGCATGTTTCACTTCTCCTGGTGTGTTTTGCTGCCTTATCATAACTGTTCTGCCCTGGCCAGAAAGACATGGGAACCCAAAGCTATTGGTAATTTTGGAAAATGACATTGATGCATGCTGTGGCCCATTTTTGTTTTTAAAAGAAGAACCATAGAGGGAGCAGCACATTATCCATATAGAAGCAAGACCAGCTGTGAGAACAGTTTGCAAAGAGACAGAACAGGCTTGGAGGATGGGGCCAGGGGCCAGCGGCCAGCTTGTGCCTGCCTGATCTCTGGTTTACTGAAAAAAGTCACATTCTGATACAGGAAAAAAAAAGAAAAGGACTCGTGTTATAAAAAGCTCCAGGCTTGCAGCCACTCCAAGTGGATTTGCAGATGGGCATACGCAATGTCTACAGTCCACACTGAGCCACGAGAAGCCATGATACAGAACTGCCAGTTGAACACGAGAGGTAATGTGCTACATTCACAGACAAGCAAACCTTATTGTCTGGTTGTCAGGCCTGGTGTTGGGTTGAATGTCCGGCATGTGTCTGGGTGAAGAGGCCCAGGAAGCTAGATCAGAGACATGATCTGTGCAGGAGGATCTCGGCCAAACTGCACCTCTCCCTCTTGCCTGGTTCACACGTCGTCGAAGATCCGACTTCGGGACATTGACAAATACCTTCCCCCAGGAGGGTGCCTGCTGGAAAGGAAAGATACCCTGGTCACACGAATCTTGAACTGTCTTTTTACATTTCAGGCTTATGCTGTATGTTTAGCACTGACTGAGCCCCAGCTATTTCATCAGAAGCTTAGCAGACAGGAGGCCACTGGCCATACTTTACCAAGAGGCAGGGCAGGAGGCTGTTTGAGGTCATAGCCTGTACACCCTGCAGCCCTGCAGTTCTTCAGACACGTATTCACACAAATCACACAAAAATCCTTCAATGCTGTGAAGTGGAAAACTTTGTGCTACGTCCATGTGTACTTAAATCCCATTTGTTGTTTTCTGTACCTTATTTACATCTTATTTTCAAGGAAATAGCCATTTTCCCTTTATATCAACAAACCACTAAACAGAAAAGCTGTAAAAGGATCACAGAAATTCACCCAGAGACATTATCCCTTGGGATTTAAGGTTAACAGGATTAGTTGTTTCAGGATTAGATGTTTCCCTCAGACTATAGAAATAACAGAAAAATGGATTGACTACACAAAAGGTTACGTTTCCTTCTTGATTTTTAAAAGGAGGGGCAGGCTGGCAAGGCGATTAATGCCTTTTTAAAGTGATTTAATGCAAGTAAACAAGGAGAACAGCCAAACTACTGTTTTCATGCCAAGATGTATGATATTCTATTATCTTGTGCATTTCCTTTGCATTAATTATTTAATCAAACTCGTGTCACAATGTACAGACTTTGTCTGCAAAACGCGTGTGACCCATGAGAGACAAGGACCCGAGACAGAGCAGCTGTGGGGGGGGGTACACGACCCAGCGGAAGAGCAGGAAATGCAGAGCTAACCCACCCCTTCCCCACGGAAGCTCAGCTCCAGAATCTGGGCATCAATCTCTTCCAGGATTTTTTTTTTTCCCCAGTTTTAAAGGGGAACTTGGGAAGAGCCTCTCCGGGCTCGTCCTACCTCCCGGGCTCGGCCTCCAGCGGGTCATCGGAGAAGGTCTCCGCGTTGAAGTCCAGGGGCTCTGCATCCTGCAGCAGCTCCACGCGGTCCCTGTCAGGCCGGCCGCTGGACCTGGTGTACTTCATGGCTTCTGAAACAGAGGGACACGCACCGGGCACATGAGGGCAGGCCTGCCCGTTGTCACCTCTGCCAAAGCTCCCTTCATTATGTGCCTTTACTGTACGTCTTCTGCCATCCTTGTACAAAAATAAAAAAGCACCCAAAACAGAGGAGGCAAATCGGCACTGGTGTGAGGTGTGAGTCCTCTAGCGTAAGAGAAAGGAGAAGTACAGTGTTCATGGACAAGGGAGCCGAGCCACATGCTCTTAAAGTATAATGTGACTTAACTGAATAATGCAGCTCCTCAGCTCAGTTACTAACATGACAACAGTTCATCAACTCTTCCTACCAAAAGGGCTTGTCTGAACAACGCATACTCACTTCACTGGAGCTAGATGTCATCTTATACCACAAACTCTGTTTTTAAACTTTAAGCTTAAGGCTTTGCCCTCAGTGATGCATTTCATAGTGTCAAAATGTTCAGAGGCGAATCACTGCCTCTCAGCATGGCACAGGCCTGGCCCTTAAGCAAAACTGCAGACAGGTCAGTCACTCACGTCTGCTTGAACTGACGTTGGTCGAGTCCGAGAAATTCGTCTCTTTCAGCTCTGAATTAACATTCCTGTTGCGGGTATAGTCCTCTCTCGGGTTTCCATAGCGATCCTTCAATTCCTGCAACAGACAGATCTGTTAAAACAAGAAAAACCCAGGGAAGCCAAACAGAACAATTTCCAAAACGCGTTTAAAAACCCACAGTAAGCGATTTAACCTTGAGTGAACAAACAAAAAGCAAATGTGAATATGTGGTAATAGCTGGGTAAATGTAAAATTAGAACTATTATACAGTACAACACGATATAATAATTAAGAAAAGAGGGAACTGGTACTGTATATTAAGTTACAACGCAAAGCATTTCCACTTATTACTAGTTGGAAACATAGACCTTTAATAGTTGCTTGTAGTCCCCTTGAGGCATTTATCTTTTTAAATCTTAAGTCTCCAGGGTGACCCAGAGTTAAACAATCAAAAACAAAGGCAAAAGACATTTACAAATTGCAGCTGGCAAAAACCATCACTCACCCTTCTTCTGTTCTCCCCATCTTCAATTCTTTGGCGCTTTCTCTTCTCTGCATTGAGAGAAGTAGGATTTATTGAGTTTAGTTTATTGAACAGAGAAAGCGCACGGCTCTTTGGGTTCACCATAGTATGCTAAAAAACGAATTTTCTTCTTTAATCCCTGGGAAGGACACAACCTATAAGATATTTTTTTAATTTCCATTATATGTAGCACATAAATGTATACAAATGTATATACCATATATAAAAGTTTATAATACTACACACATTGACAGAAGTCCATGCTGCTATTCAGCTCAGGATTCACGCATAGAGAGGAAACGTGTGTGGCGGGGGTGTTGTTTGTTAAGCCTTATCTGAAAGAGCTCTTCCAGGGCCACAAACATATGGGGCATTTAGTAACTGCACAATCATTCCATTTCAGGAGGCAGCCATTCAGTAACTTTTATTCAATCGAGAACAAAAGATTAATGTTTCCAGGTAACAAGCTGTTCAATCAATGTTAATAAGAATCGATCAACATGTGCCTTCAGAACAGAGAGGAAGCCCTTGAGATCTTCCGCTGTAATTTTGTAGTTTTTCTGTCATAATCAAAGCTTGAGTGTTCACTTTAATAATATTCACATTATACACTTCATTATTTTCGCAGTCTATATTTGGGCACCCCCATTGGATCAATTGAAACTTTCTTGCATTACCTCTCCTGATGAGCTCTTTTCCTTCATCTATGAGGTCAGAGGTCATGTCATTGTCTCCCATGAATTGCTGGAACCCCAGTAAGTTCAAACAGCGGGTCCCAAGGCTGAGGGCAAAAAAAATTTTTGAAAGTAAATCACACTCCTGAGGACATACTCTCTGTTACAGAAACGGGTAATAAAATGAATAAAATAAAATAATGAGAGTGTATAATTTCAAAGATGCAGATGCACTGATAAACTGTGCAGAGGCAGGTCACACTATGAGCACGGTGTCTTCCATTCAGTTCTGAAGGATGCGCCTTCGCAGTACTAACAATCTAAGAATGTAACTGAGAAGAACAGGTTTGAAAATGCACATCTCCTTATTGTGGAAGTTTGTAATCCGTGCATTTGTATATTGAGCGATGGGCATATTTACGGATTTCTGTGGGCTCTTTTATTCTTTCGATGTAAAGAAAACCTAGCTGCATTTAAGTGTACTGAATAGTCTCTTGGCAACAGCAAATGATATAAGTGTAATAATATCCATTTCGACACAAACTGTATTAAAAACAACAACCAAAATCTACAGAAACTACTTCTTTATCATAGAGTTCTTTTATTATGTAACATGGAAATAAAAAAAAAACCTCAGACAAGAAGGCTTCCAGATTTGATCATAAAGAGAGTCTTTTGCTCTCCTGCTCCTTGGCACTGAGATGGCAGTACAAAGGACAAACTGCACTGTCCCAGACTTCCTGGATTATAAACTGTGTGGTAAAGAAGATGGCCCCTTCTCAGATAAGGAAGGCACACTTTTTTCTTTAATGGAATAACAATAGAAATACAAGAATTCAATAAAAAAGGAAAACAGCAGAAAACAGTTAATACACTCAGGGCCTGTCGTGAGGACTTACTAATTTGTTCCGAAAACACTACCGCTAGCTGTACAACACTGATGGCAGCTTTGCTGGGAACGAGAAAAGAACAAGCTCTGGGTCACTTCTTCTTGAGGATGGTTTACTTCTGCTGGGACAAATGTTTTTGGCTGAGCCTTTCTCACACCAAGGCAGCGACACAAACAAGAAGAAAGCCTCACCTGAAGTAGGTCGCGATGCAGAGGATGACTATCAGCATAGGGTAGTAGATGTAGAAGCCATCTGCAATGAAGGACAGCACCCGCATTGAACCCATGATCTGCAACAGAGCACAGTATGGCTTCAGTCCACTGAAACACCAATACTATCACCTCAATTCAAATCACTTTTCACATAACCACTATCAAGCAGCTTAAGACAATAAGGTTAAATACTGGGCGTTTTCAATCTCTCACATATTAACTCTTAAAGAGCATGGATTCACTGTATACCTTAATAAGCTATAATCTCAGATTGACGTTTTTGTTGCTGAACTCTAAGTGCAGGATTCTTACATTGGAGAAACAAACCAACAGGAGAAAGCAGACATGCTCTAGAGAAATTGTTGACGGTACAAAAAGAAAGACCAATGAAAAGCGAAAGAGAAACAGAACTTTGATAGTATCTTGACTTCATTATCTAATGTAATCACAGCTTGTCATGTTATGTTTCAATGTTATGAAATGTTATTATTTCCAAAGAATAACCTATACAAAGAGGTAGAAAATCATCTGATCTCTGAAATAAGAGATAAATGTAAGCCGCAAACAATGTATGTGAAAGTATAACTTTTATGCTTTCAAACGTCGACATCTGACCACTCCAATGAGAAAAGTGCCGTCTGATCTTGATAAATTTGTTTAAAGAAATTCTTCCCTTGTACAGAATCACATGACTGGTAGACAGAGAGAGACATCTGCTGGTCATACTCAGAGCAGGTTACAACTGCAGCCCACTCAGTATCAGCATGCTTTTCAACACTGGCAGTGAGCAAACAATGCCATAATACAGCACTGGCCTCTTAAGGCTTTGTTTAAACTGACTTTGACCCCTGATAATTGCCTTCTTTCATGTCTGACAGAGTTTCTCCATGATAAGTGACAACATGGACTTAATTAGGTTTCTTTTGTGAGTAAAATAAACTATAAAACAAAACCTACTTCTTATTTAATTAAGGCACAGTAGGAGAGGCCATCGTTTTGCAGCCTTTGAGAACAAATGTGAAAACCTTGCATTCCCTGAAGAATATTTACCTAGAGCTCGGCTGAGCTGAGAACAAGTTGCAAAGCCCTTCCATGCGTCTTTAAGCCACAGTACGGTTAACAACACATTGTGGCTTTTTACCACCACACAACGGGACTCTCAAACCAAGCTGCTGCTGTAGTGCAACCGAGCTACGAATGGGAGGTGAAGATAAGCCATGTGCCATCTTTGTCACCCTCAGCCAAAGACACAGCAAGAAAGCTGTCAGACCTGAGGTCTCGTATCAAAGTGAAGAGAGTGTGATCAACCCCAAACACCACCAGCACTGCCACCCCTGGCTCACGCACTGAGCTGCAACGTGTGGGGTGTTCCCGGCCATGTTTCGACTGAGCATGCACACGCTACCTCTTCTGCACCCACGGCTCACACAGGGCAGAGACATCTCCCAAAGACCTCCTGAATGGTGTTCCTTATTTACAACTGCATCCGCCTGCAGTGTGAACAGCTGTGCATGTGACCTTCAGGAGAAGCATGTGACCAACCGCCTCCTACAGCAAACAGCTTGAGTCAACACTGCTCTGTCTTCATTTCCTGCTGATCATATGGCTCGTCTGGCTTTTGTCTAATGAAGTTTACCTTCATTACCTGGCACACCAATCTAACAATGGCTCATGCTGGCAGAAAGGCTGATAACCCTCGTCTCTCCAAAGGGCAGGTTAATTAACAGAAATAAAGATTTTTTTTTCCAGTAGAGACTAAATACAGCTACATGCATGGAAGGCAGGCCCTTTGTAATTGTACTCCACTCACAGAGGTGTAGGCGGTCTGTTCCTTCTTCTGATGGGAAATGGTCGAGTCTAAGTGGATCAAACCCAGGAAGTTCAGGCACAGGGGAGGTGTCAAGCGACAGAACAGCCTGGTGTCCAAGACAAGGAGAGAAACAGCCCTTTAAAATACACATCCTTCACAGACATGAGTATAACCATTCCTATGGTTCTAACCTCAGGGCTTTTGGCAATGTAGATGGTGAAGCAAGCTCCAGGCACGGATATCTATTCAACATGTCAGTGCTCTGTGACCCAGAATAAGGAAAAGGCCCGAGCTGGTCAAGCTTTCTAGCCCGAGTGTCTGTTTCAGAATGTCAGTTCTGTGCCTGTGTTTTATCTTCTGGGGCTGTGGGTGATACAGCAAACCACTCAAACATCGAACATCTAGAATAACTGTATAAATATATTCCCACAGTACACATCTGCCTTTTTTTGTTTTGTTAAATGATCAGCAGAAAAGAAACAGTGTGCGCCACAGGGCATTTTGTGGAAATAGCCAGCAAGGGGCTGTTGAGAGGTGGAGTCCTCTACTTTCCTCCCTACAGCTTTCTCTTGTGCTCCTTACAAAAGTGCCCCGTTCCCTGTGACCCATGTGACGCAGGTATGAATCAGCTGATTTCAACAGTCAAACAACAGGTTCAAACAACAGCCGAGTGATTTTGTGGCAGTCAGGGCGCTTGGTTTCTAACCAGAGGAATGCTACCTCAAACCCCAGGCTTGACAGAAGAGCAGCTGTTACGTGTCGCTCTCCACACAGGATTAAATGGTGAGGGTTGACCCTACTTCACACTCTATGAATGAGGCCCATATCATTGTAGATGGAATTTGTTCTCATCTGGCTTGCCCGGTTAAATAAAGGTCTAACAAAAGAACAGACAACCGGTTGTGTCTGCGTCTACATACATTCCACTGAACTGCAGGCTGTAGGCGTCGGTCTGGTGGTGAGAAGCCAGGTAGTAGTAGTTGAAGACTCGGATCCAAAACACGGTGGAATACACACAGGTGCACAGGAAGAAGATGGTGATAAAACAAGCCATCTGGGATGGAATTTGGAAGAAACACAAGGGGAAACTGATCAAACACTTTAATTACTGCAGACACGCTCACACATGAACCTAAGGTAGACCAACATTAGATTAAACAAGGACATGACTATACTAAGAGATATTTAAAACCCAACGAGTGTTACTGCTTCCAATACTCAGTTACATGGTTTTTCCTTTGCTAAAAGTATAGCTTGCTATGCTAATCGCAGAGCCCCCATGAAGTAACAGCGAGGTTTCTCCCAGGCAGCTGCAGATGTACAGGTACATCTCTCACCTCGATGTACAGGTAATTGTAGGTTCTCTCGGCCAGCTGGATGAAGACGGCGAAGAGAGAGAGGACTGGGCGCGTACTGAAGAAGGTGCATTCGGACCAAACCACCGCCACAGAGAACGCCGAGAGCAAGATGGCCAGAGCCCGGTAAAACCACTGTTTCAGCTGGCACTCCCAGTACCACTCTGCACAAGAGACACACAGGCACCAGATAAACCAGAGGGGCCCTGGGCTGTGGTGTCCAGCGGTCACTAGGCTACCGACTCTAGAGTCCACCTGGGCTCAGTATCGCAAGTATCAGTCTACTCAACACTTCTGGGTCACTTATTCCATTTCTGCATAAAGGGCAGCCTGCTATTGCCCATCGTCAACCATGATACAGAGAAAAGACTGCACCCAATTTCTTCAAAACACTTCCAGAGTGAGAATGTGCTGAATGGATAAGCTTCTACTTATATTAAGATGTAAAACTGCCGCAAGGTTGCTTGTCACAGTTCGCAATTCTCTTCAAAAAACACAGCACAAAAATTGACTTGGGACAAACAGTACGATCCAGAAAGTCCAAATCCAAAAAGGATAAACCAGTTTTCGAAAATATATTTCATTTTTCTTTCAAAGCATCATATCCTGTTCAGGGACACGGGCAGCTGACATGCCTGACGTAAAAGTTCTAACGAGAAACTGAATGAGATCAAGGGTTTACGTCAGTCTTATTACTGCAAGTCTTCTCTCAGACAGTGTTAAGGCCTTGATATGAAAAGTGCAATATTTAAGGTAAAAACATACTACCATGTCTTCCATTTACTTGACAAAATATGGTTTTATTATGTTTTGATTAATTTCTAATTACTTTCAGTTCTGTAAATATGACAACAGCTGAATATGAAAGCAAACCACGCATTATAGGGGAATTCTGTCCAGGTACAGGATTTTCCCTAATCGTATACTGAACTCAAAGTCCCTTTATGTTTAAGGGATTTTCCGTGCCAGAACTTCCATGCAAAGTCAGTACACAGACACAGAAGCAAGCAGAGCTCTTTACCACTGTCTGAAGCAGAGGTGCTGTACAGAGATGCAGGCCTTGGCCTCTGTTAATTGTCAAGTAGCTCGTTCGGCCATTCGCATCCGATCAAATGTTCTTCATCAGCCTTCATCAAGGTCGCACACACCCGCGTCGTCGGCTGATTTCGGATGATTTTTGGCTCACTTGCCAGACTGGGACTTCGTGCTTAGGGACCAGGTGATGAGCTGTGCCCAGCAGCTTCAACCAGCTGAACAAACTGCAGTCACCATCACAGTCAAGGGGCACAGTGGCCACATTTGGTACATCAGGTCGTATGCTGCTCACCTACAGTTGGCGTGTAGAGATAGCGGGAGACCCAGCCCTCGGGCTCCTGGGGCGCGAAGCTCCTGACAAACTGGCGCGTGGCGCTGGCCTCGTTCTTGGCCACGTCCTCCAGGTGGAAGGCCTGCTCCAGGAGGATCTGCCACTGCACCTGCGTGCGGTTGTGCCTCTGCACAGCGTAGATCACCTGGCCCGGAAGACAGTGGTGAACATGGGCCGATGTTCCACAGCTTTTACTGGGACAGCGGGCTCTCGATGGGGATCAAACCTCGTCATTACAGAAAACTCCCCTCCTAAAACCCCATGTAACAAATATTCTAAAGCTTTGTAAAACCAGATTTTGTTAGTTGATGAAGGAATCCACTCTGGAGGACTGCGTTACAGACAACCCCTTCAGTTTCACTCTTCCCCTAAGGATGGACCCGACGTATCCTGCAGTAGGCAGGCAGACTATGGCCTTAAAATGCTTATTTTTTCTGTTGCTCTTTTAGGCTGAAGTCCAGGTTTGCCTCCTGTGCCTGCTGAGTTAGGCTCTGCTACACCACAACCCTCTTTGCAATTTGCTCATTGCAAATGGATGGATGTTCTTTTGTGGTACGAGCTTATTTCACCTGAAGCAAGGCCTCAGCAAACGCCTGAGCAAACTTGCATATACCTTAAAATACGCCTGTACCACCAGATGTACCTCCACTGCCAGTAAAAACCAGACAGACTTGTGTGAATTCATCACTAAAGTCTGCTACATGTTTATCACAACAGATTCGAAATCTCTTCAGTGCACACGAAGGTACGTATTCCTGCATGTTTGCATACATTAGCTGTTCTTAAACAAGTATATCAATCAGCAATGGTTTCCATTATAGAGCTAATCATTAAACCCAAGATCTCTGACAATGAAAGTACAAGAAACCACCAGGTTGTGATAGGGGTTGATCTGTAAGACCACAAAACAGTTCTTTCTTACAGGTAATTTCTCTGTAAATTAGCAAGCTGTATATTGCGTACTTGCTTGTGCAGCTTAGTCAGGCTTTTCTCGCTTGGGTAGGTGTTTTGCTTGTCATCAAAATCTTCATAGTCGTCCATGTTCCTACCCATCTTCTCCTGGTAGTCCGTGGGGCACTGAAAGAAGACTCCAGGCAATGAGCCCCTGCACTAGTCATCACACTGACAGCGAGGTGGACAAAACTGGACGTAAATGTGTTCATGTAAAAAAACAGGTAATAAAAACTTTATTTCTGGAAAATAATCTAGCCACAAAAAGCGCTGGCCAGCGGACAGCCTGCTGTTTATTGCTACCGTAAAAGCCAGGGCTTTTCAAAATACCAAACAAGATTTTCAAAGATGTCTTGAAGTAAAAGCTCCTTTGTCACACAGGCATACATTAAAAAAGCAACTGATCAGTCTTTTTACTATGACTTAATTTCTCGTCTGTTCTCATTTATACATATACAATGATTTTGCTAAGGCCACTGCATACAAAATGTGGAGACTAAGTTTTCTATAGTTTGAATCTTTGCACACATGCACAGTATTTCCAAGGCAATGACAAAGAGGAATGTATCCGTTAAGCAATGACAGGAATATTCAATCCCATCAGTTTAAGTTCAGTTTTACGGAAATGGTCAAGCCTTGAAATTCACATTTCAGCCTTCTTACCTTTCTTAGTATAGTGTCAATGTACTTTCTCAAGGGATGGTTATACTTAATGGATTCGCTCACTTTACGCACCTCCTACAAAGACAGCACAGCAAAAGAAGACAGATCAAAAGATTTAAATTAGGTTATAGCCTGTGAAGAAGATGCTTGTGGTAAATATTTCCTTTTGCTGACACAACAATCCTGCAAAAACATTCTCAAGGTGTTTCAACTGATACCTCTCTGACATCGCCCGTTGTCATTTTAAATGTAATCGTCTTTGAAGAGCTCCTTTCTGTATTTTAGAAGGTTCCTTGGGTGCTGGGACTTCAGGACCAGTGATTCTATGCAGAATCAAACTGGAGTTGACCGATGTGTTAGTCCTCAAGTAGTGTCCTTCAATTTCAGCAAATTTTCAAGAAAAGTCTGGATGACATTCTTGAATAAATAGGGCACTAGAAACTGAACAAGAAGGGTTGAGCTCCAGTCTAATTTTCTGAAGAATCCAGTATTAAAAAAAAAAAGTTTTGCTTTAAATACAGTATTTGAAGAATTGAGCCCACTGTGCCTGATACAAGTACTGGCCAGTATGATTAAAGCATGTTCCACACATCCACAAAAAGTTGTGCTTTGTTCAGAAAAAGGGTTAACATGTGGCCATATATTGAGAAACTGCCTTTCTGGTTTTGGGTGAGGTCAATTTTCAACACAGACGTACTGAAAGAAATGTAATTATAGGTGCAATACAATCTGCTAGTTGTCAAACAATGTGCTT